ATATATAATGTGTGTGTGTGTGTGTGTCACCCTCTCTGTGTGCCCATTGTCACCCAGGACAGAAAGTGATGGGAAATCTAAACGTTAACAGTTGTCACCAGAATAGCAGATTGGGGACATTATTCCTCTTGTGGTGACAGCTTCCTAAAATGGGATGTCCCCTTACTTGGTTCTACTTTGCAATGGTTGTGCAGATTGCTGTCCACTATCCAGCATTTGGGAGATGGCTAACAAATCCATATTCTAGAATGCATCATACAGATGGGACCAGCACAGTGTGGTTGGCTTATACCTAAACAATATGTCCAGCCACAACTTTGTTTTATTTTGGGGAAATTACGCCACTGTTTAATTCACAGTTCCCATGTAAGAAGTAATTGATGAAGAAAAATCCTACAATGCCCATTGCACTTCTGGGTACATGCTGTCGGGTAAAGTGCCTACAACATGTTTTATCAGTCATTAGTAAAAAGATAAAACTGTCCCTGTAATGTTTAGGTAGAACCTATCCTGCACTCTGCCTAGCCATTGTCCCTGCAATCCCCTATCATCCCGCTATTGTTGGCACTGAGTTAGCAAACTGTAGGTTGTCCACCAGAAACATGATTGTGAAACATTCCTGAAAGGTGATGTATCAATCCACTGTGTGAATATCTGGAGCCCTGTGTTCTGTAAACGTTGTCACTTACAGTGTTGCGGTGCACATCAGGGGTGCCCACAATTTTTTGTGTTAAGATTTACTTTTCAAATGATGAGCTACATGAGATATACCAAAGAAAAAAAAACCTCCCTTGCTCGCTCTCTCCTCGCTCTCCTGGCTGTCTCTCCTGGCTGTCGATCCTCGCTCTCCTGGCTGTCAATCCTCGTTTTCTCTCCTTGCTGGCTCTCCTTGCTCTCTCTCTCCTGGCTGCCATTCCTTGTTTTCTCTCCTTGCTCTCTCCCCTGGCTGTCTCTCCCCGCTCTCTCTCCTGGCTCACCTTGCTGTATTTTGCAAACAGTGTAGTACAACAGGCTGTGTAAAGTAATATGCTTTGATACATAGCACTTCAACCACCAGTATCCACCAGAAAGGTGTCGGGGAGCTTGGCTCAGCAGACTCAGGCTAATAGGTAATCATGTGTGCACAGCTAAATAAATATACCAAAATGGAATAAAGGGGCCGCCAGTCACACCCTTCGTGATCTACCAGCATCTACCAGCATATACCCCCCCCACTGCTTGCTGTGCCCTCCTCCTCCCAGCATGGAAGAGAGAGCTAGGGCATCCAACCAACTAATTGAGTTGACAACTATTCTCATCATGATATGTATCATAATCATAGATTAGTTGGTTGCAGCCCTAGACTACAGACACCGTCCTCTCTCATCATCTCCAAAACATGGGAGGTGGGGGCCTGTAGTCCACAGAGGTAACCTGGTAGGGTTGATGCTCCCTGGATTTCTAGAAGGATCAACAGGTTTTGTTTTTTTTTACTTGTCGAGCATATATAACAAAACACTTTAAAAGGAGCATTTTTAAAGAAGAACTTTAGGAAATGTAAAAATTAACCCTTGCACTGGGGCTACTCCTGCACTGGAAGGATTAACATTTCATTTTGGTCTACTGGCTAAAATAAAGAAAATATTCTCACCCGATCCTTGGTCCCACGGCAGTTAGCACTTACCTCTCTCTCCCTCCGCTCAGTGCAATGTCCAGCTGCATTAGATATGATGCCCTCACAGGTCCTTAGACTGCCAAAGCCCAGGGGTAGAAGAGGCTGCGGGAACCAGTCTAGCAGCCAGGCAAGACTGAGGATCAGGTGAGTATATTCTTTATTTTAGCCCCTAGACATGCTTTGCCTTTCAAACATCATAAAGTCTCCTAGGTAGGTTGTTCCAAACATCTTGGAGAACTAAGCACAGATCTTCTGTGGATGTAGGCTGCTTCACATCATTCTGTCTCTTTATGTAATCCCAGACACACTCAATGATGGATGAGGATATCAGGGCTTTGTGGGGGCCAAACCATCACTTCTAGGACTCCTTGTTCTTCTTTTCACCATACATAGTTCTCTAGGACTTTGGCTGTATGTTTTGGCTCATTGTCCTGTAGCAGAATTAAAGTGACACTACACCCAGGAGTTAAATCTTAAAAATGCATTCAACTATCAACAAAATGTATCTTGTGTGTCACTCGGCTGTAGATCCTCAAATCATCTCTGAATTGGTGCTGACACTGCCCTTCCTTCTGGAGGGTGGCTACTTTTGTTCCCCATGGTTCCCGTGTGTGTTGTAAAGTAGCCACCGCTCCAAGCTTGCTCCTGTGATGAACTACAATCTCATATTTTAGTTTTCCAATTTGTATTGAGATTGTAGTCCATCACAGGAGTGAGCTATGACTACTTTACAACACACACGGGAACCATGGGGAACAAAAGTAGCCACCCTCCAGAAGGAAGGGCAGTGTCAGCACCAATTCAGAGATGATTTGAGGATCTACAGCCGAGTGATACACAAATAAGATACATTTTTGTTAATAGTTGAGGTACTTCATTGTATATTTAAGATTTAAATCCTGAGTTTAGTGTCACTTTAATTTGAGAGTGATAAGACCCC